TTTCTAGAGTAGCTCAGAACGGACAAGCCCTTAAAGGATAGGTTCAGTTCTTTTTATCTTTTTTTTGAGGTGGGGGCTTTTATTGGCTTTATTGATAGTGAAAGCTGAAGAGTGACATGAAAGGGGGAAGAGAGAGAGGGGATGACATGCAGCAAAGGTCCACAGGTCACATTCGAACCCTGGGCTGCTGTAGCCGTGGTACATTGGTCACCAGCTCTACCAGGTCAGCTATCAAGGCTTCTGTTTTTTTCAAGTCTAGTGAGTATCTTCACATTGAATGACTGTGAAGTGAAGCCTTCCTTCTGCAACTCTAATGAGAGAGATGGGGGGAACAAAATCTTCTTTCAGTGCTGAAATGTCATCCTTGTGTTACTATCCCTACTATCTCAGCAAGGAAGCACTGTCCATGGAAACACTAAAAGGCACACTCCCCTTCTCCTCTAACTCTGGGAGATCTACACCTGACTTTGGTAACTCACATTTCTGAGCCTCATTTTAGCTCCAGCCAGATACGAATCACTGTCCAGCTTGCAGAGCAAGGCTGCTGCCACCAATTATGTTGCTATCTTTCATGTAATCTATGGCTTTAACTGCACCTGGGAGACTTTTGTTCCCTTTCTTTAGCCTTCCAGACAATGGGTGTACCACCCTGGGGATAAGCGCTGTCTTCAAGATAAAGTCAAAGAACAAAAGTCTTGTCCCTCGCTGCCGTTCCATTACCCACAAGCCTTGTTGAGGGGTGTGAAATAGATGAGTATATTTAACACACTAGCACAGCACAAAATAAAAAAAACTGACAACAGTGCCACCAACAACAGCCACAAACTAGAGAGAGAAGCTGTGGTCTTTTACTTTGGAGTCAGCCAGAGGGATCAATTCATTGGTAATTCTTTCAGTGTAGATTTTGTGAGTTTTATATTTAGATAGACTTGAAATAAACTGAGGCTATCCTTTAATTAAGAGATTTAGTGGTCCAACCCTTCCAAGCGGATTATTTCCAATGAAATTCATCAGTTGAAAAACACAGTGGTCTTGATTATCAGCCAAACCCTGTTCCACCCACTACCCCTACCCCATAATACTGCACACACAGACACTGTTCCCCGCTCACAACCGTGTTTGTTGAGCCACATTTAATATGCCAGTGCACTTTCCTAGTGTTGAGAGACAGACTGGCAGGTTATCAGATTGCCAGAGTGCCGTAATTACATTCACCGCACCGCACTGGTCTGCTGCTCCACAAACACCTGGCAAGTTGCCCCAGCCACTGACCTTTCCTTTGGAAAAAAACAATCCAGCTATGTAAATGGCAGTCACACGATGAGGCACGCTTTGTAAACTGAAATCATGATAAAGATTTTTTTTAAAAGCAACAGAAATTCCCTCAATCGCCCCTGGATCTATTAGTTAGCTAGTTGTGTCTGGGGCTACTTGTCATCAACCCCCTCAACCATCCTCCCTCTGCATGAGATGCCCCGGCCTCACTAATGTGGATTTATGACAGCGTACGTGAGCGTGTTTGTGGAAGCCTGCCTCCTGTTGAGCCATGTTGGGCTTAATGAACAAGCGGCCTCATAAATGAAGACGGATCTGAGCTGACAGCGCCGCGGCCCCTCCGACAGAGCTCGGCCATGCAGCATCTGCCACATGTGGCCACATGTGCTTGAGGGACAGATGCAGGGAAGATGGGTAGAGGTGAGAAGACGAATGCAGCACCGCGGCTCGGGCTAAGATATTTGGTGGCTTTGCTTGCTGAAGTTGTACTGAACTCGACGTGATACATGTAAAATGTCAAAATGCATACTGAGAATGACCTTTATGTGTAGAATTGCCGGCACTGAAGGCCAGGTAAGGTTGCTAGTTTGTTTTTACTGAATGTTGAGTAACTGCATGATAGTTGAGGATGTAAAATGTTAATAATATACTGACCTTTCCTGTGTGACCTTTAGTCTTGGAAAACTTTAGAGAAAAGATTTAATAATTTAAAAAATACTTTTTTATGTTACGAAATTTGCATAAGACTTACCTCTGAAGGAAAATACATGTCCTCATTATCAGCATATCTTAATTATAGACTAATTTTTTTTTATAGATTTTTATGTAGATCACATGCTCCGGTGCATGTGAGTAGGCAGCTGGCATCTTTATGAGAAAATATTTAAGTTAAATCACAAAGTCAGGCCTCCTGTGGTAAAGATTGGGAAAGAAATGCAGAAAATGTAAAATAGTATAACACATGATCTTGTGTTTTCACACCAACAGTAGTCCTCAGAGCTGTTCAGATAATGATGTTTTAGTTTTCAGCTTTATGAATCGAGCTCAGACTCTCCTACAATCTTTCATGTCTTAAAAGTCAGCCCTCACTCAGTATAGTAAATATTGAAGTGTTGCGTCGGAGCGCTGCAGCTAACAATCTATCAGGCACACATGGATGATTTTTGTGTTGATTTCCCAGCACTCAATAGCATAGCTGATCAATGGGCCAGTCTCAGAAGGAGTTGGTGTTTTCCTTCAATACATTTTGTGCGAACACAAACTTGAAACCCAGCCTGCTTCTGTAATGTCTGTAACATAGACGGACAGAAGAGTAGTCTTTCAACTGCCTTGTAAAACCAGACTGATTAATGTGCGGACGTGTACATCTGATGCTGGGATCAAGCATCAAGTGCTCTCTTTGTGTTTTGCTCTTAAACAGAAAGTGATGCTTAAGTGTTTTTACAATAATTTGTTTATTAAATGAGTGGATGTCCTGACAGACGTTCTGAGGAGATTGCTGGCCTTGAGCGTTTATAGCTAGTCATCTTTGGTTACAAATAGCAGCGCCCAAAACAAGCCTGAAAATGCTCCCAGCTTTGTCTATGGCCTCAGCGGTTTATGTCAAAATATTCAGTAACAATAAAATAAAAGATCAGCAGACTCTCGCGATGGGTATCTGGTGTTTATCATCATAACAGACCAGGGGGCTCAAACTGCCGGATGAAGGGTCATTTCCAGCCCTCCAACCTGCGACATGATGTCAAAAATATATTATATGATCAGGTCTGCAAGATTATTATTATTATTATTTTTAAAAGTGTGTTTTATTTGGTGCACAATAATGGATCAAAGATGCTTTCAAATCTGTGCAAAATTGATAAGAAGAGAGCAGGTTTCCGGCCTTTATTTGTTGTTTGGCTGTGTACAATTAAACAGATGTAAACTGATGATATAAAAATCTGTTGAAACTGCAGTCTGTATGGTGTTAATAATCTAAATTGTTTCAGAATATTTTGCTTTCTTGTACTTAAACATTGAAGTGACCGTCCCATGAGACGACAATGCTAGGAGTGGCCCCAAGCCAATTAAGAGTGTTAATGATCAAACTAACTCTTGGTAGTATAATAATTGGACTAATTAATAAGAATGAAACAGAAGAGGGAAAAGGAAGCAAACTTTAAATTATTAGATATACTGCTCCTACCTATTCGGTGGTGTGGAAACCTGACCTGGACCAGACAATACCTTCAGCCCTGAGCGCATGGCAACATGTTACTCTACTGCCCAGTTACACCATCTCTGTGTCAATACTGGGTCATAATCAAATCCACACAGCTCTGAGTAAACAGCTAGTTACAGTCTGAACACAAATTGACTTTTGTTTCATCACTTTTATGATGCCTACAGCCCTTAAATCAGCTGCATAAGCTCCATCTTAGAAAGTAATGGGTCTATTATTAATACAGTAGTTATATAAAGGAATGTAAATATATAAGACTTTGGGGAATATGTTTAATAATTTGCTACCATTGCTGTATTAAGTTTATTTGCGGTGTTTTGAGCTTATTTTTGGATGTACATAGTGTATTTACAAATGCAATTAAATATAGTTGCTATAACTATTTAAATCATTATTTCCTATACTGTCTTAACTTAAGAAATGTAAAATAAAGTTGTCTTATGCACTAGTGTGAAGAATAAAACATTGAATGTCCAGGTTTGATATTGGATTATTTACTTGTGTTTTTACTATCACTTATTTTTGGTCTTTGAAAGCGATTTCTAATGTATTGTAATTGTATTCATCATTTGACTTGAGGTTCAAAGGTCAATCTTGGCCTTGGAAACAGCAGTCGAGAAAACAGTGTCACCACAAAATCCATTTAGGCATTGTTTTGTAGCTTTGGATGAGAAGTCCTTCCACAGTGCTCAGAAAGTCTAACATCTGAATTCCATGACAACTTGGCAAACTCCATTTGCTGATGAAGATCATGTGATATGATCAAAACCTTCAGAATGCCAACTAAATGGATCTGGACAGACTTTTTTTCTCAGTTGTTTTACTTTCTTCAAAGTTCCCCTGCATCCTGGAAAAGCTGGAGACTTCAACAATGTT